AAAGAGTACTTACCCCAAACTTGGATCTTGACATCTAGAAATTATTCTTTCTATATGTATATGTTGTGATCCAACACGAATGAACTAATGAATGAATGAATAATGGAGAGCAACCAAGGTAATGGGGAATGTATGGGGGAAATGGGTCTTGTTCTTGAAATTGAGCTTATATTTGGATTTTCCAGTATTATTTATTTATGATGCATATTTATAGCCCATGTTTTATCAGAGGATAACTCTGAGCGGAGGCCAGGAGTGAGGAGGACAGCTGAAGGAAAACCTTTTAGGCATTCAATCTAAAAAATAATTAAACTGAAACACTAACAATACTAAAACGGCAATCAGATCCCCAGGAAACTGACTAATCCTTGTGAGCAGATTTCTGTATTTTGGCAGGCAAGAACAATACAAACACAATACAAAGGCAGGTGTTTGGGTAGTATAGCTTTTTTTGTTCACTGCTGTTCATTGCTAATATCAAGATACATAATTAAGTGTGGAAGAGACAAGCTTTCAAATTGGCAGTCAGTATTTTTAGACATTGGTGACCAAGCAAACATTTCTGTGCTTTTTAAATTATAGGAAGTACGCTTACATCATGTCTCCATATTGGCAACAGGAGGCAGGCCGAGCTAATTTAAAACTTCCATTTTTATATTTGCAGTATCATGAGTATGATCTTGCCCAACAGAATAGATTTCACTAATACACATCCTTGGCTCCTTGAAGCTCCCTCTCTTTCATTTAAAAAGATTAACTAATTTGATTCTGCAGCTCCCATGTTTATATTGAAATGTAAGTGGCAAGTTAAAAGCAGCCCTGGACTACAGCCATTTAATACCGCAGGGATAAGTGAGCAAAATAAATAACATGATCCAAAGAGCTGCGGGCTGAGCTGGTGTTTATGCTCAGGAGTTCCACCCCTTTCCATTAGTCCTCCTCCATCTGTAGCCTGACATTCCTCCTTACAATCCCAGAAAGCCAGGAGTCTTCCAATGTGGACTCCAATGACACCTAAGGAGACAGTGTCAAAATGAATGGGTATACAGGGTCCACTGGGAAATAACCTGTTTGAATAATGGGGCTCATTTAAATTGTCAGTAAGCCAGACATGTACCTCGTTGAGGAGGAGAGTGTGTGCAATGGAGGCTCTGGTATCACGAAGGAACATGGAATTATAGAGTTGGAAGGGTTATCTAATCCAACCCCCTGCAATGTAGGAATCTCAACTAAAGCATTCTTGACAGGTGGCCATCCAACCTCTGCTTAAAAACCTCCAAAGAAGGAGAGTCCACCACCTCCCAAGGGAGACCATTTCACTGCCTAACAGCTCTTATCATCAGAAAGTTCTTCCTGATGTTTAGTCAGAATCTCCTTTCTTGTCACTTTGAGTCACTGGGTTGCGTCCTACCCTCTGGAGCAACAGAAAACAAGCTCGCTCCATGTCTTCCATGTGACAGACCTTTGGATATTTGAAGATGGCTATCTGAAACCCAGGGGGGCAACTAGCAGTGTTCTTCCAGATCATCTCAGGTGCAGCCCCACCTGCCAGAGATGCTGAAGGGCCTTCCAAAGAAGCCATGAGGAGCACAAGAGTGCAGGCTCCCAGGGCAAGTATGGTCACTTCAGAGAGGCCCTCCCTGGGAAAGGCAGAGCTTAGTTGGGTCTGCACAAGAACGGAAGAGCTTAATCTATCTCTATCTTTGGGGCCAGTTGCCAGCATTACAGCTGGCATTACAGCCCAGGCCCAAGGAAACATGCTTCTTTAACAGATGGATTGAAGCCATCCTTTTAGCAGGATCTGTCTCCCAAAAACTTTGCCTTACACTGTGGGCTACTGACCACAGCCAGAACCGGACAACTAGACTTAATCCAGAGATTCAGTCACTAGCATTTACAGCTAGTGCTGAAAGGAATGTTTCACTTTCAAAATTTTGTGAATTCCCCAACCCAAAGAGGGCAAACCGAAATGTGATAGGAAGGGGCAGCCTTATGTTTTCCCCAGTGTAAAATGGAAGGCTTGTGGTGATCACATTTCAAAACTGAAATTAGAACAGGGGCGTGTGTTTGCATTTACAAAGTCAGATTTAGCTTTTTAAGTTTATTTTAGTGTTTCTTATGATAACATGTAGTATTCACATATCACTTTTAGCTTTTTTTTTAACGGCCACATACAATGTCTCAAAATCAACAAAAGTCTAGTGGCACTGTAAAGACCAAGACATTTTATTACCGCATGAGCTTTCATGGAATAGAGTTCACTGCATCAAATGCAGGGGAAATGATCCTCGCTTGTCAGTTTAAACAAGAATCCTGGGGCATGTTGCTCAATTTGCACAGGGGTATAAAGCAGAGACAATGTAAATATTGGAGTGAAAATGACAACAGAATGCAAAAGTATAGTCCATGACAATTTGGTTAGAGCTCAAATATATGCAAAACGGCAATTCACATCCGTAATTGGTGATTTCTCACCAGTGCCAAGATGATTGTCTTAAGTGACAATACAGCTAGAACTTAAATATATGCAAAAATAAGCACAGTGACCCTTCCACAGCAGCAGTGATTGGTGATAACAGCACTTCTGGGTAAATTTATTGTTTTTGCTCGAACAGACTAACATGGCAACCCCTTTGGAGACTGATATTGCCTCAATATTCCTTACAACAACTCTCTGAAATAAGCGAATATCCTTATCTTCTCTTTATTACAAATGGGAGGCTGCTACTGAAAGATAACAGCTTACTTAAGGCAATCCAGAGGCTCATAGCTTTAGTGAGATTTGAGCTAAGCATTTCCTAACTCTGTTAATCTTTGTACTACACTAGCTCTCCAAAGTTTCATAATTTACAGCCACTAGTTTAACAGAAGTAGGTTCTGGAAGGGACATAAAAGGCATGTGTGAATTTATGTCCTAAGGATCTCCCCTTTATTTGGGATTGCCCAGGGTTATTAAAAAGCTTTGGCCTAGATCTACATGAACATAGACTTGCTATTTGGATACTATTCTTTAGGAGGGAATGAACACTCTGTAAAATGAAAATGATTTAGAAGAAATAATAGTTCAAAATATTCCTATGGTGATATTGATCAGATGTTATTAGCTCACACAGATTTAAGAGGTGGTGAAACTGATGGCTGCTGCTCTGAGCAAGGTGCCAATGTGATAGCCCCATGAGTCTCTTCCAATGCTCATCATGTCTTAAGGCCACAAGGCCAGGTCTGAGTGTGAGAAATTCAGCTGCTCAAGTTATGTCAGTGGCGACAGATCTGCCATTTAGCAGTAGCATGGCAAATGATGCCTGTCCATACGTCCATATTCCAGAAATTTCCACTGAACTCATTGAATAAGACTAATGTGTTATGTTTTAATAATATATTTTTGGATATTATGAAACATAAAGCTGACGTGCTCATTTGAGAAACTTTGCCCTTCCATTTGTCACAAAAGTCATGCTTGATAGGAATATCATAGCATATTAATGATATATTTACTTTGAGCCCTACCTAGCCAAAGTTATTCACACCCAAGTCCCATTGATTTCAAGTGTGATAGTTGGTCATGGATGGCACTATCTCTAGATCAAATCAAATTTCACAGGGATAGCCATGCTAGTCAGTTGCAGTGAAAACAACCAAGAGCCTCATGTCACCTTAAAAACTAACCCATTTATTGTGGCACAAAGTTTCATGAGAGATGCACAGTGAAGTGGGTTATGTCATAACTGAATTCAATGGAACAACAAAGTGCTTAACTTCGTGCCCCAGATATTATTTTATTTTCTTATGCTGATGTTCATAACGTTTTGTATCACATATGTTTGTATGATCTTTTAATTATGTTGCTGCAGGCTAGTTTGTTTTTAATTGTAAAACCGAGTGGGTTTTTGTGTGTGTAAAAGATTAAAATAGTAAGATATTTCTGCAATGGTGTAAAATCAGAAACAGTTCTTTATATATTGCCTAATATTAACATTTTAAAAAAATTATTATAATATAAAACAACCAAAGCACCAAACATACAACCATTGCTGATTATTTAGACTTTGTTGACATGGTTGACAGTCCACAGAAAGACACACACACACAAACACACAAACGCACAAATCTTTGCAGACTGCTTTATGACCCTGATGGAGAAAAGTGATTTGTTGAGGTCAATCCACCAGACTGCAGCAGTGCATTTTGGAAACTCAGCTGTATCAATCCCACCCAGACAGCAGCAGAACCCTGGTTTTGACTTTCTTATAAGAGAAAAGCAGAGGTTTGTGTATCGAACGAAAGAAGCCCCTTAATTACTAGGATGTGCCTTTGATGTTTGTGCAGGACATTCGATGGTGCGGGATGATTTCATACAAGGAAGGAGGGAGAGAAACCCAAGCTTCAATCTTCGGAGCTCCTTAAACCTGGATTATGGTGGAGTATATTCAGGGTTTACTCCAATTCCAGAACCTCGGAGAGCTCCCTGCCCTTGCATACCCGTCGCTTGATCGCTTTTGACTTGCTGGAACCTTCATTCCAGCTGGCTGCTTACTGCCCCAGCTGAGCATCCGCAAGAAAGAAGTCTACACCACAACTTATCTCCCTCTCCCGCTCTCCAAACCTCCTAAATTTCAAGGGGGTGGGGTAGAGGTGGAATACGAAAACGGTTCTTGTCATTTAGTGGTGCGGCTTTTCCTGACCCGGTTCTTTTTGCGGCAATTTTGCTTGACTTTCACCAACCCGGGATCTGAAAGCAGCCTGGTCCCGGGCTTCGACCCAGAGCTCATCCCTCCGATACCACACTGGAGTTGAGTGAGTCTTCAAAATGCACAGCTCCACTCTCGCCCTCCAACTTGTGTGTGTTTGTGTCCCCGCATGCATACAACACTGCATGTCAGCTTGTATACAGATACTCAATCACACGACTCCCCCCTTCAAAATCACACACACACCAACAACCAACAACAACAACAACCACCCAGGCTCCCCTTTGTCCTTGTCCTCCCCTTTGTCCTCACCTCCTCGCCAGCCGCTGTAGCTGCAGCTCTTGCTTCTTCTGGAGTATTTGCGCTTGTTCCAGCGGCTGGCTCTGGCTCCCCCTCCGAAGACATGCTTTGCCATTACAGATCTCGCTGCCCTACTCGCGCGTCTCGATAGAAGCCAACAGGACCGGAAAGTTCCTCCTCCCCGGGAGCCAGCGAGCAGTCTGGCGGGCCGGGCCGGAGAGCAGGTGCGGGCCGGGTGGCCCCTACCGGACTCTGCCCCGGGACTGCCGCAGGTCGCTGTCCATGGTGCTGAACGATCGCCTGGGCGGCCAGCCTCCCAGAGCGGGAACCAATCCGGGCATAGAAAGAGAGGCACCGGCGCGTTGCGTGGTCCCCTTCCAGGGCAGCCTCGGCGCTTCGGGCTCGGGGGCTCCCGCTGCCGTGACCATCGCCTGTCTGGCAGGTCGGCAAACAACACTGCGGCTGCTCGTTAACTTTGAGGCGGGCAGCGGTGGGGAGGGGGGGTGAAGACGCGGAAGGCGCCTCTGGCGAGAGGCTGGCGAGGATGCCTGGCCCAGGGAGACGGGTCCCCCCCCCTCTCGCCGGGGACGGTGCAGCCTCAACCTTTGCGGTCCCCAACTCTGCAGTGGAGCCACTGGGCTGCCAACTTCGGGCTTCCCTTTGCCTGTGGGTTTCTCTCTCTCTCCCACTTGGCATTCCCGAGGCTGGCCGTAGGAAAGCAAGATCTCCCCGAGAGCGATTCTCCTGCAGATCTCCGGGGAGCTGACGGCATCTGCCCAGTGCCCAGCTGGCAGCAGGGTGGCACGGAAACCTGACTCCTCTTCTCTAGCCAGCTAGCGAGCGGATACCCCAGCCAGAGCCATCCCAGAAGCCGAAGACACCATTCAGATTCCCCCTGCCAGGACTAGAAGCCACAAGAGGCCTCTCCTGTTCTTCGCCGCCTCTGCCGAGAGCCAAGTCAGAGATGCTTTTGCTTCGCGGGAAGTTATGCGTGATCCCCATTCAACACTTTGGGATCTCGGGCATCATCTAAGAGTAGAACTCTCCCATAACTGGGTCTGCCTTCTGCTCGGGTAACTTGTGGCTAGTTCCCTTCTGATCCCACTGATCCTTCGGTAGGGATGTTGTCCTTGATCTCCTAACAATAGCAATGTGATCCTGGATCTCTCTGTCTCTCTTTGGGTGGGTGTGGTGGTTTTAATTTTGACATTGTTTACTTACAGCAGTGGCTTTCAACCAGTATGCCGTGGCACCCTGGGGTGCCTTGAATGATGGAGGACTCCTAGGAGAACTCCCAAGGAGAGGGGAGAGGCAGAGGGAATGCTCCACAAGGGAGGGTGTTTGAAAAAAGGTGAGAGGCTGCCAGCTCTGCAGCCAAGGGGTGACATAACTGGGCTCCTGAGCCCCACAGGGGTGTGGCAGAAAGAATGTCATTGGTCAAGAAAGCCGTGGACCCAAAAAGGTTGAAAACCTCTGACTTACAGTGTTGTACTGAGGGTGGCATTTAACTAACTTCTGCTCAGAGTAGACCCATTGAAAATAATGAACATGACTAAGTTACAACCCTTAAGTTTCAGTGGAGGAGCACTTAGTTGAATACCCCTCCTGAGGTGGTGGTGTGGTTAGGGAGCTGGACTAGCCACCTGGAAGACTAGGGTTCAAATCCCCATTCATCCATGAAGCTCACTGGGTGACCTTGGCCCAGTCAGTAGGTCTCAGCCTAACTTACCTCACAGAGTTGTTGTGAGGATAGAACAGGGAGGAGAAGAAGCATATTGAACTCCTTGGAGGAAAAGGTGGGATATAAATGGAATATTCAAAAAAAGTGGTATAAAATATTTAATTAAATACATAAATTATGCTGCTGCCATCCCCTCACCCCAAGGCATCCCTCTTCTGTTATTTAGCAAAGGGGCTAGGACACCAAAGCGAAACGAAACAGCCCCCTCCCCAATTTCTGTTTCTGTCTGCCTCTCGTCCAGGAACGCTTGTACCATTTGTTAGTCTTTAAAGTGCCACAAGACTTTTTGTTGTTTTAGCTGCAAGCGACAAAAACCACATTCACACCATACATTTAAAGAACTACGATTCCACTTTAAACAATCATGGCTTTCCCCAAAGAATCCTGGGAGCTGTAGTTTGTTAAGGGTGCTGAGAATTGTTAGGAGACCCCTATTCTCCTGACAGAGATACAGTTCCTAGAGTTCCCTGTAAAGAGGGATTCCCATTCTGGGAATTACTGCCTCTTGCCCCCTCCCCTACTGTGCCCCCTTCCTTCTACCACTGCTATGACTCAGCTCTTAGCAAACTCGGCTGGAGCCAGGGCACTCCTCAAAGTGCTGTACCCCTGGGAAGGTGAGCAGCAATGCCACATGCCAGAACATCTTCCTCTTGGCAGCAGAAGTGGTGGGGTAGGTGCTTTGCCCTCTGGAAGCTGAAAAGAATAGCAGTGAGTGGTCACTGGCATACTTCAGTTTGATTCCTTCCAAATGGTCTTTGGGATCCACTTCAGCTTCTGAATGGTCATAGAAATGCATCCTCCTTGCACGCTCTCTCCCTCTAAATATCACTGGGCACGTATTCCCTTTTAGGTGTTCCATTGCATTTCCAATCACCAACTTCCACCACTACTTTTTCTGCTTTGGTGAGCAGGGCAATTGCCCCCATTTGCTGCCTGCATTCTCAGATCAGAGTGCTTATTCTCTCTCTCTCTCTCTCTCTCTCTCTCTCTCTCTCTCTCCTGCTGACCAGGAATATCTGCGGTGCCACCACACTGCTGCCTGTTTGTTCCATGTCTCATTACCTTTGCAGCCTCTGATGACCCTTCTCATCCAAGCTGTTTCTCCTGGGCGTCCTGAACAGGCTTTCCTTTTCATTTTGGGAATGGATATTCATATGCCACTAGCACTTTCAAAAGCTCAGCCCTTTCCTGCAGAACCCCCAACCTCCAGTGTGGGGATTTAAATACAAAACTCCTTGTCCTTCCCTTCCCTTTCTGCAACACAAAAATAAAAAGTGTCCATCAGAAACCTGTGGCCCTCCAGATGTTGTTGGACTCCAGCACCCATCAGCCCAAGCAGGCATGGCTGTTGGCCCGAGATGATGGCAGTTGTAGTCCAGCAAAAACTTGAGGGCTCCAGATCCCCCCCATTCCTGTGTTAGGGACTCACAGGCCAGGGCATAAGCTGCACCGCTGACTCAGGGGGGTGATCTATGCAGCTTCAGCACCATAGGGAGCAGACAAAGAGCTGGAAAAGGTTTAGGTTTAGCATTTTGGGGGGCAGTGGTGGCTGGTGCTCATTGGGATTAGCAGGGTGGAAGGCAGGGAGGCTGGGCGTAGGTGGGGCTAGAGCCAATGAGAGACAGAGCCACCTCCTGACTGGTTGCAAGTAAGAAGGCAGGCAGGTGGGGGCTGGTTGAGAGCAGGCTCAGATAATGGAGCAGTGTCCCTTTTGAGTTTTGACCCACTGGGAAACCAGGAAGTAGCAGTGGATAATCCAAACAGATTCAGGAACAGGGAGGCACCACGGTTGACCATCCTGCAAGCTGTTCCTTCGTGCTTCTTTTTACAGCATGACAGAGTCTCAGGGCAATGAGACCACAGCAAACAGATTAACTGTTTATGGGCTAATAGCCGTAAAATAAAAACAACAAAAAAAACAACAAAAAACAACAAAAAACAAAAAACAGATTAACTGAAGGTGTAATTTACTAAAAGCCAATTAAGGTGTGCCGAATTAGGACTGAGGAGTGATCCTCCAGATGCTATTTCAACCCACAGCTGTGCCCTGTCACACATCTATTGCTGTCAGGTCCCTCCAGCCAAATTAGAGCACAGCACCATTCAGCAATCCGGGTGCAGCATCATTGGCCTCTAGTGTGCATTGCCACAGGTAAACACATACACAACATCCTCTGCCTTGGGGCTCTTTGTAAAGGAAAGGAAAGTCCAGCCAAATTACTTAATTTCTCTGAGCACAACTGTACTGATTTTCAGCATTTGGTGACTGTGTCCTCCCCTCATCAGTTTGAGTGTTCATTATATCACAGCAGCTCAGCCAAGGTGGGGGCATCACAACATGCTCAAAGTTTCATACTTTTGCTGTTAGGGCTACTTCTCATATAACTTTTTAAAGACATCATGGGTTCACTTTCCTTTGTCAAACACCACACCTGAGGATTGGTTCAAATGCAATATGAGGACATTCAGTGACACATTCATCTGTAATTCTTTCAGTCTCACCAGGTAGAAACAGAAATGGAGAAGCCAGCTTCTGTAAGAAACATTTTGTAATGAATAAAAATAATGGCACAGGCTCTCACATACGTGCAAACACAAACACATACACCTTACTTGGAGAATGACATATGCTTTATGTTAAAGGTTCAGATAGATATCTTTCTACAGAGACATTCTAAATGCAAAAACCACTATGATAAAATAAACACAACCTCTTTAGTAAGTTGCTGGCACCTGTCTGTCTCGAGAGACAATGGAGTTTGCCTCTGAGGATGAAGTCAAACCACTGCGCTAGCAGCACTAAAGTGACCTCCCCAGGGTGCAAATACACCCTGGGCAATGTGTATAGAGGTCTTGGGCTGCCTAGATGACAAGATCCCTCTCTTAGCCTCACTGATGTGATCTAAAGGAAAGCAGAGCAATAAGATTAGCGCCAGCTTGGCTGCACCTAGAAGGTGTACAAGGCACCATCCACTCTGGATTTGTGTTGGGTCCGATGCCATTTTGTATCCACGGTTGCAGGGATGGCCTATATTTTACAATTAAGGCTGACTTCAGAAAGCTGTCCTAAAACTAGTGAACCAAACAGAGTTTTCAAAATCCACATTAAGAAGTTAATTCTGGGATTCCATCAATGCTTAGGATCAGTGTCATTGGCATTAGCTGCCTAGGAGAGCTATCTTTCCTCCTAAGCCTTTCTTCCTAGTCTAACACACATTAATTATGTATTTCATGCTAAATGTGTGATAAGTGCTTTGTGTGCAGGCATATCACACTCAGCTGCCCCTTGCTAATTTTACCTCTTAATAGCTGAACATCAGAGCGGGGCAGTTTTTCACACGAAGAGAAAATGAGGATCTGGAATTAATTTTACCGAGCAGAAGCTGGTGCTGACCGTTATCTGCTGCAGCTATTTTAAGGCTACAGCTGACAACTTTAAGAGGGGAAAATCTTTAAAATGGTGATTACAACACCATTTTGAAAGAGCTTCCCTACATTTCCCACTATAGCTCATGGGGAGATGATCAAAGGGTTGGGTGACGTCCCAATCTAGGATTTAGCATACAGTCCCAAACCGCTTTAATCTTGCCTTTTGCCAGTCATGTACATTCAAAGGAGGAGCTATGAAAACAGTTCCTAAGGACATGAGAAGGACCTCCTGGATCCAGCCCAGCACCGTCTTCTGACAGTGGTAGGACCCAAGCACAAGAGCACTCTCCCCTCCTGCAGTTTTCAGCAGCCGATATTCAAGAGTCACAACTGCCTCTGACCTACAGCAGCTCTCAAACTCAGCAAGTTCAGCCTTGTGTATTTTTCTGTGGCAGGACACTTGAAAGGTTGGGAGAGGGGAAAGTGAAGCACCAGGAAGCGCTGAGACCTTTAAAAAGTGACCCCCTTCTGCTGGTAGAATAGAT